TCCCCCCCCCCCCTTCACATTTGCCCCCCCCCCCATCATCCCCTCCAATTCAAGACTTAACGTCTAGATACGCCACTGGTAGCAATTCCAAAATTCATAGCATTCATTTTGTAAAAGACTCCCTTCTCTTCCCTTTTTAATTTGCAAATGTAATCCGGAAAGGAAGGCCATCTCGAAAAGAGGTACGTCTAAAAAAGAACCCCATCTATGGGTCCTAAAAAGAAGACCATGGCTTCTATTCGACGTTTTACGGTATCAGAGTTTACAGTTCATTGCTTTTCTTCATGATGCTCGATCGTGCCCTCATCAACCAACCGTAAATCAGTTCTAATGTCGTCTTCATGTTCAGTCTTCTCTACGCCCTTGTCTATTTGTTTACCTTTTATTGCTTCCTCATCTGTGTCCGTCTCTCCAATCATTTTGAACTTTACTGGTTCAGGAGTTCCATCGCCATTGTTCCTACGTCTAGTAAGTTGTCTTGTGATCAAAAACGCTGCGAGTGCAATCAAAATGGCAATAATGACGACAGCCGTGATGGCAGCAACGGCAGATGTGTGTAGGCCTAAATTTGCTGATCGACTAGTTTCTGGTAGGATGTCAGGCGATTTCAGTATTACAAGTTTACCTGTCTCGGTTGAAACTAAATTTTGATAAGCAACCTCACACACAACGGTTGTATTAAGATCACCTTGCTTGAGGTTCAAAATCTTAAGGACACGACTATTATCCGTGATTTTAAAACGGTTCTCTAAGAGAATATTCATATTTATTTCTCTCCACCTGTATCGTAAAGGCCCCTTTGCATTAGTTTCACAGACAAATGTAGTATCACCACCAAGAACACTCGCGCTGGTTTGTGTGACTGTTACATCTGGTACATCTTGGTAAGGAAATACTTCACATGTTTTCACTTCACGAAGTGCATCGTTGGATGTTTCACAAGTAAAAGTTACCCCCTGGTCATCCTCTCGTAGTCTCAATCCAAAGTAACTTTTTTGCTCTTGAACTTTAGGGGAAATAATCTCGTCATCTCGGTACCACGTGTTGTTTGGAACCGGGTTTCCGCCGGAAGATTCGCAAACTAGTTGTACAAAGTCTCCTTTTTGCGGAGGCCGTTGTAGCCCGAAGTAATCAACAGAACACTGTGGTGAAGCGTCGTTGGATGGTGTTAGAACGATGAGAGTAGCGGACCCGAGTGATACAAAATTACCTGGCTGCCTGGAGTACCCACATACATACGTACCATCGTCGACATTTGCATTTGCGTCGGTGATGAGCAGATCGTATATGCCGTCTTTGTCTATTCCGATAACTGAATATCGCCATAATTTGTCGTCATCTTTAGTACTCAGTGTACGCGCCAATGTGATGTAATCACCAGTATCCTGATGGTACCAGACGATCTGTTCGTTAGCGATATTCTCGACTCGGCAGCGCAAAATCGCTACGTTTTTCGTCAATACAACACTGTCGCTTGGACCCTCGATTAGTTCAATTGCATCTGATAATATTGGTGTAAGAGAAAACAGTAATAGCACATATTCATAGGTTCGTCCCATGTTTAAAATTTTTGTCAGAGATTTCGAAACGCTGAACGTGGAATAACAACTAACGAAGATGTATAATTATGATCTTAGACTTAATTCTGTACTTAAATACCGTGACACGATTGACAACCATAAGTAGTTAAGTGTAAGATACCTAATTTGCATAACAACATAATTGATTTAGTATAACCAATGAATCATTTAATCATAATAACAATAGAAACAGAACTATAATATAATAAACATATGAACTTAAACCTGGCTTAAGCTATTTTCCGTGTAACCAATCGTATTGCGAAAATATAAATCAGGACTATTTTATAATTACCACACTATACGGTACTGCCGCTACTCTATTGGTCCAAAGATATTTCTAGACTGTTGCTTAATAAAGAGGGGTGGTCACATTGCTTCAGAACTTGTTGAGACTATAAGAACTAGTTTATGTTAGGTACGTTGTTGAGCATGACTAAGAAGCGGTTTGGCACAACAGGAACGGTTTGGTTTCCCCAACATTTGGTCGGGGTTTCAATCCCTCGCTCTGAATTTCACTTGTGTCCTTGGGAAAGGCACAGTGCCTTGCCTTAGGCACTACTTCCTTAATGTTAACCTAGAGGTTAACATTAGGCGCTATATAAATATTGATTATTATTACTATTATCTACCACCCAGGAGTATAAGTGGGTAGAGTTGAATTCCAAAATGCGCTGATGTAGCTGCTGCAACATTATGAATACTCCCCCAGGGAGCTTGTTCCTGATAAGCACTGGGTTTTTTTTTCAAATTGTCATTAAGAACTATCCCAAATATTCTCAATTTTAGTTGGTTTCATTAGAACTCCCAAACAGAAACAAATAAACATGAACTGATCATGTCACAAAGAGCTTATCGGGGATAATCCTAAGCGAATATTTAACAATATAAAATATTGATCATAATGATAATAACAAAATAATATATAACAATATTTACCTGTATCGATAATCAAAGCAAATGAAGTGTTGAGAAGAAGAACGAATAAAAATTCCGAAACAAATTTGGCAGCCCAGTAGAATTAAATAACACGTACTGCAGAAGCTAGATTCAAGAGGACGCATAAAAGTTTAAATGACATTCAATGCAATTGAAGAACTTATTCATTCATATTTCCCCTCACGACTCGATCATTGTAACTCATTATTTTTAGGGCTACCTGACTTACTGATTCATCAATTAACTCGTATTAAGAATACTGCTGCCAAAATAGGGGCACACGCATTTTCGTCGGCAGCATTTGATTTATGGAACCATTTACCTGAATACTGCTGCCAGAGTAGTTACGCGTTCTAAGAAAACTGACCATATCACACCTATGCTAAAATCTTTAAATTGGCTACCAGTTAAAGAGTACATTGCATTTAAAATCCTCCTCCTTGTCTATCGCATTTCAATTGGTAAGGCACCAATCTATTTATCCGACTTAATACCCCCTACTTCCCATCAGGGCATCTCTTCGATCCAAAATTTTCTTTGGGAGTAGTCAAGAGGCCCAAAAAATATCTTGGGGCACACGCACATTTTTGTCGGCAGCATCCGGTTTATGGAACAATTCACCTGAACCTATCAAGATGTCATTGTCTCTCAATTGCACTAAAAAAGCATTTTTTTTTACCTCTTAGTCTTTTACCACTATCAGGGGCGGATCCAGAATTGCTCAAATCGGGGGGTGGGGGTGGGAGCACAGATAAGTCAGAGTGCTAATTTCAATATATGCCTTGAATTTTAAAATTTAGTGGAAAACCGGTTGGGGTGGGGGGAAAGTTCCCCTCGTCCCTCCTTACTGGATTCCTCTGATTATGGTGTTTCTTTTCGTCTCCAGATTCATTTCTTGGTGGCCAGTTTTGGGCTTACTTCCTCTTTTATCGAGACAGCGTTGCTCTCTTTGCAGTGCACGGTACAAGTGGAGCCAAGGGCATATCCCAAGGTGGATGGTCCCGGAGCCATACTGCCTAACGTGTGGCTGCGTGCACAAGGGTTTGACAGCGATGCTGTTTGAATATCAAATGGTTGAGTCCCATTCTGGTCACCTTCCGTTATTTTGGGCCAATTATCACTTATTTAATTTTTTTGTTTATTTTATTTGTTATTTTTGTAGGCGTATAGCTCAGATATGTCAATGCATAAGCGTCTTCGACGGATACCGGCATCATCGTTGTTGTTGTTGTTGTTGTTGTTGTTGTTGTTGTTGTTGTTATTATTATTATGATGTGTGATGATTACTTACGTGTTCCTCCGTCTGACATCATGCATGTCTTGGAATCAATCTTCTAGCGTACAAGATAAACTGTTTCTAGAAGATTGTTGAAAGTTTCCCTTGATTGAGTTGATGCTTTTGCCACGTTAGCATCTATTCCTAGAATCTTTCCTTTATTTGTTTTGTGTTTCAGTGTTTTAAATTGTTTTATATGTTAGATATGATACCATTTGAGAACAGTCCTTTTGGGGTTCATCTTGTCCTTTATAACCTGCAGACACATGTTCTAGTAGAACTTGGAAATGTGTATTTGCATCTCTGTTTATCATTCCTATTTATCCACTGGGTAATAGAATACAGATAGTTTTACGACTTCTAATTATTATATCTACTTATTACCTATGTTGTTATCTTTATATACCAGTGGTTTATGATGCATGGAACTTACGTGTGCGTAAAATATTGCCGATTACATTGTGTAACTGGTCATACAGTACCAAAAATAGCGTAAAAACGGAATACAAAAATTAATTTTATACTATTTTAAAATAGTATAAAACAAAAATATTCTGCGACCAAGATTTTCAACGATGTTTAATGCGCATTATAAATTCGTTCAATTATCAATGACTGGTTAAATTGTTAGTTACTGGATTTAGGGTTACATCATCAATTTACATATTACGGAATACACCGTCGAGACTTTTATGATAAAGGCTCAAAATAATCGAGCAGAAAGACAATTGAAAAATAATACACTTATTTACAACGATACCTTATTTTTAAAAATACATGAAACAAACAAACAAACAAATTTTGTAACTGATGGTCGTCGGGCCTAAAGCGACAACTTAAGTACGCTACTCACAGATCTATCCAATCAGGACCAAATAGCAACAGGTTAATTAAACAATCAGCCAATTATGGGCTAAACATTAAGTGTCACATAGACACATTAATTAAGTCATAAATATAATTGCGCGGACCAACTGACAGTATAATCCCCATGATTAGAAGCCACATTCCATATAACAAAGATACCAAAATACGTTTAGTTACCATGGTAAGGGTTGGTTTAGTCCTATACAACTTTACAGAGGTTTACTGAAGCAGCGTTATAGCGTGCAAGTTATCTACAACAAGAAACAAAAATAAGAGCAACATTTTATTTTGAATACTAAATAGAAATTATATGAAAATTATTATTGTTGTTAAATTGTTAAAGTAATTCATGAATTTACATATGACAGATGATCAGTGAAATGTCCCTTCAAATCTGTGACATGTAATGTCCAGTATTGTTATCAATTCAATCCAATTAACTTTATATATATGATTTAAAATACAAAGTTTAAAAAAAACACACATTAGGTAGATCGTAAAAAAAATCGAAAAATTATAGTATACAACATTCTACTCCCTGGTTCTAACAGACTTACATAACATTTAAGACAAAAAAAAATGCCGATAAGCTATACTGCCTCTAATACAAAGATCATTAATAATCATCTTGATACTGTCTTGTGGTGTTTAAAAAAATTTTTATACCGTCTAGTAAACTTAGAAATGATATAAGAACAAGAACTCGTTACAGTATGACTACTGTTCATTGTCGTTTTTACATAATTCTGAAGTGATTACATTTTAATACATAAACAGGTAGCATACCGGTAATTAACCAACTATAAAGTTAAACATTTCATTTGGTTGGTAAACAACAAATTTGGTTTTGTTAAGCATTCGAAAACAAATCAAGGAATAATGGAAATAATGATTGAATGTTTGCAATAAATTAATAATTTATCAGTTATCAATTATTTTTCAACGATATTATATGAGAAGGTGGTTTAGTCAGCCTGGACTGACCAATGTAAACACTCCTACATTGGCTAAAATACAGGCACATAACACACATCACTGGGGAAGGTCTAATTTTGTCCAAAAAGCTCTTTTATTTCTGACTGCTAACTGATTATCAATTTTTTTTTTATCTCTACGACATCCAGCTATTGTTTTCACAACATTGTTGTTTACCAGTATTCTGTCTTTGTATTTACATATACGTATATATATCCCGTATATAATATAAATGTAGGCCTATACAGTGTTTTGATAACTTGTAGTTATTTACTGCATCAGAGTTCAAAGAATTAAAGCTCAATAGAGGGAAATAAAATATTCCATAATATAAATAAAATTAAATCATATACACGAGAGAACAAACGAATATCCACTGAAGAGACTGATATCACATGTTCTACAAAAAAGGTACAGCTGCACATCATGTGTCCATTTCATGAGAGGCATGACGCTCGAAATACTATAGTTTGTTAGATGAAAGTTAGGTATACAACTAAGCCAATGAAACAGACGTTAGCTTGTATTTTGAAATCTGAATTTCTGAACCAATATTCACACTGTGTAGCTGGGCGATAAGTTCTGCATCACCTATGGTAATAAATAGATTCAAAGTTTACTCAAACACGTAAGTACCACTGATACTTACATAAGACTCCGTTGTCCATACGGTATGCTTACACCCACTAGGCAAAATCTGTAAAGTTACTGCCAAAGGAAAATGCTCAAGAGCAAGAACACAAGAAGCTTGCAAACCAATAAAATATTACCACGCAAACGCTCCCAGCCTTTTGGTGAGGAAATTTTTGTAATAAAATATGGACACACACAGGTTATTGCATCAAGTCGTCCCGAGAAAATCCAGGCCTACGACTTTGGACGAGCCTGAGTTTAAAAGCTGAGAAATTCTACATATAAATGACATCAAACTCAACAATTTAAGATTGTTAATAATTGAAAATAAGAGATCATCACTCGGCAACTTCCTTTCATTCCTCGATGTTTTTCTCTCACAAAACCCACCACCCCTGTCTCTTATACACATCTAGATGTGTATAAGAGACAGGTATGACTACTGTTCACGCTTTCCTTAATTGTTAATACGACCATATGTGGGCAGCAGCCTAGATGATATTTTTGTATTTGGGTATTCATTGAAACCATAACATATATTCTAATTTATGAAGAATGAAAATGGGGTGAAACCATAACACATATTCTAATTTATGAAGAATGAAAATGGGGTGAAACCATAACACATATTCTAATTTATGAAGAATGAAAAAGGAGTGAAACCATAACACATATTCTAATTTATGAAGAATGAAAATGGGGTGAAACCATAACACATATTCTAATTTATGGAGAATGAAAATGGAGTGAAAATTGACTATGGCAACAGGCTTGTTAGTTTAATTAAGCCTACAATACTTTGTTCTTACTATGGTAAACTCTCACTTGGATTGTCTTGATCTAACGGATCATAACTTCCGGCACCTGAATGTACATTGATAATAAGAAAAAAAAATCGATTTTAAATATTTACGGTATTTTCAATAATTCAGGTGATAGTAACAATAGTAATTACAGTAACATCTCTCAATTACATATCCCTATGTCCTAATATGGTTTGTAATAGAGAAAGTTTGTATTTCAGAGAGTTATATTTGCCAATAGATAATCCTAAGTAACATCTTTATAGGACCAGATGAATTTTTTCTTTGAACATTTTTAGTCATGAAATAATAACTGGGGATGAAATTGTATGTACTTTCTTCAATCTTTTCAATTAAAAAAAAAAACTTTTAATAATGTAATTTAGAGAGTTTATAATTGGGAGATTTTTAATGGAGGGCGTTTATTGTATGTACTACTTAAATTTCAAATTATGATGATATTGAAACATTGCATATTATTAATGGTGGAAGTATAGTATTTATATTGTTCAAAGTTCACCTACATCACAATGGAATTTGCTGGAGTGTCAATCAAACTTAACAACTGGCCAATCAGAACAGCGCCACTTGCGTCCAATTACACTATCTTTGATGAAACCTTAGCAAGGGTGCGGGGCTACCCATTCTGTATTCTGCTCTCAGATGACATATTATTAGAATTCAAGTAATAATGCGACATTTATAATAATGCGATATTATATAGCGCTATTTAGTTAAGATTAAGATTAAAATTAACTGTTTAATTAATTTTTTTAAAAATTAATTTTATTAGTTCATAAAATAATTTCATTCAAATTTCATTTGTTTACTCTCATACTACGCTTTCAGGTCTCCCTCTTAGACCCATCCAATAACAGACCACCTTTAATAAACGTCAAACCTTAAAAATTAATACTAATAGGCCTAATGTTTATATTATTATTTTAATAACATATTAAATGCCAGAAAGAAAATTGCTCGTCGTTATCAAGATTAATACATGCAATCCAAGCATGTTACCAAAAATAAGTAAAAGTAAAGAAAATGAAAACGTGCTGCTATTCACATTGTGAACTATAGAATTTACATGCAATATATATATAGCCTCAAATGATCCAAAGGGGTATAATTCTTTTCTAATATTTATTGTATTCAAATACTTTAGCCCATTTATATGGAGGAAAATTATAAACATGTTTAGGAGCGGGCGGGTGGACAAAGGTGCTGATACAGGCACTTTTTAAGAAAATTAATTCAATTTATACCAGTTGAGTAATATTACCCTAGTGTAATAAATTCAATAATATATCATTTGTGTAATTAATGTATTCTTTAATTTTTAATAACTATTAAAAATACTCTCTTTTTAATGATTATGAAAAACATCTAAGATAAACATTTTAGTCATTAGATTGATCATATATATTGATGAAATATTGCTTCAGTTATGTTTGTGTGTGTTTACAGACTTTTGAATACAAATAACCTTAATTTCGCTTGAATTGAAAACATTTAAAAATGTATATTTGTGTCTGTTAATTGGCAAAGAAAATATCTCATCTAATTCCAATTAAATAAAATTAACTGTTTATTTAATCTATAATCTAAGCCTATCGGGATAACACAGCCAATATAATCTTTAATACATTAATAATAAGTTAATTACTCTAAAATAAACATTTACGTATAATCCAAAAGGGGGACACAGATACCTTCACTCCTTGATTCGGCAGTCATCTGATGATAGTTTTCGATACTTAATATGTAGATCGTTGCACCTACTAAAGCACCAAGTATTGGACAAAATGCTTGAGCAAAACCCCACCACTTTTCCTTACTTAAATTTGGGAGAAAAGAAACAGTTTATTGTTAGTATTTATATTCTATATCTATTTCAATTTAAATAAATCCGTTTGTATTATATTAACATTTCAAAATAGTGCAGGGAGTTGACCAATGAGCCTTAAATTTCTCCTAATTCAATTGAAGTAGAAAACAATTTATATCAGTATTTTCAATATTTATTTTAATTAACAACACATCTTTTCATATAAGAATTAAAAAGAAATAATAAATAACACTATTATTGATAATATTTTTAATTAACATTAAAAATTGTAATCAATGTCTTGGCCTATATGCAGGAGGTTGTGCTAGTATTTTGCCTTTAGAATGTGATGTCTGCACACTCATCTACAGCAGGCGCTGGATAAGTATATCGCGATAATTTGCTCTTTCAAAAGAATGTCCTTGGTTATTTAAATAATTAGTTCGTATACACTCGCTCTAGCCGCCTATGGTTTATAGCCCTTCAAGAAATGACTTCTGCAGACCCAACCATTAGCGATAAAAAGAACTGTGCCGATGCAAGGGTTATGGCGTTTTACGCCTACGTATTCGACTAAACGTTTTCTTCAGAAAGCCTGTATTTGTTCACCATGATGCCCTACAAAAAATATGGCAGTATTAGAATACTTTACACGCACAACCACATAGGTTCAATGCCACACCATCCTACCAGGTACCCATTTATACTCCTGGGTGGAGAAAGGCAAACGTAAGTAAAGTGCCTTGCAACAAGGACAAGCATTGCGACGAGCGTCGGTTTCGAATTCCCGATCAGACCAACTGTGACGCTGAGCCACACGCTTAATAATTATGGATTCTTTTACAGTACTTTGATTAGTAAATTAATGAACTCAAAGCTAGTTTCAACATAAGTTGTAAACTTGAATTTGACTATCTGTAGGCTTACAGTGTGTAGGCAAGTTTCAGGTGAATTAATACATGATTTAATACCCTTGATAGACACTTACCTTAACTCAGCAAATTCAACAAATATTAAACCACTAAGATCTTGGAGTGGGTTAAAATAGAAACGTGCAAAGAAACTTAAAGCAATTCCGACCGAAAATAAAACCAACCCAATAATGAGTGGCTCAAAACGCTTGGATGGCTTGATGGTCTTGAGTGGGTCGTTTTCCTGCTTATTCTTCCCTTCATCAATGACTGCCATGACACCAATGGTGAAAAATACCGTTTTCAGAAACTTCCAAGGAAAATAAGAAAGGTATATCAGTCATATCAAAATACAGTACAGTAACTAATTACACCGAAATAAACAGGTTAATGGGCAACATTCACTGTTTTGAAATGCAGTAGAAACCCTCCTTTGGGACACCCCCTATTCAAGAGAAATATATCTTTTACACACTACGGCCTTAGGGGACACCTCTATTAAGGTGACAGGGACATTTTCTGAGTGTGCAAAAATGGTTAAATCAATAATCAATAAAACTACAATAGTCTCAAAATCCATTACAAATTACATTTTGACACCTTTTAAGCAATAAACTTAATCATCAAACCAGAATTTAAATTGTTAAATTGTGAACATAATGTACATATACCGTACAGCCTACACCCTGATTTCTAAGTCGTTATTCTATCTTGTCAATAATAAAACAATCTAAAACAATATATGTTAGGGGCCTATATCATTGTACGAAAACATTCCGAAACCCCTGTTAATGGGAACATTTCACGTTTTTGGTCAGAGTCCCCTGAATAGAGGTACTCCTCCTCAGGACACACTCATATTAGGGCGACACTTCTTTTGGTCCCAAAAGTGTTCCTTTAATAGGGATTCTTCTGTAGTAGAGTAGTTACATATGTTTGCTATACTGTAATTTTACCTAACAGACAAGAATTCTGTGATGCCGTAATGACTAGGAATTAAGTTAATGGGACAAATACCTTTCTATAACACTTATGTACAATGATCTATAGATTTATCAAAATGCATTTATTTATTTATTTGGTTTTTTTTTTTTAAAGAGGGTAACCTATCCAGCTCCTACAGGAATTGATTATTAAGGGCATGTAAAATATTAGGCCTATAATAAAGGCACGACTTTAACTCCACCATGGTTGGGGTGAAGTGAGAAGATTTCAGAATAGGCCCCTCTAGACGTAATGTAGTAGTGGTAATTGAGTGATCAAGTTTATTCCAATCTAAAATGGTTTATGGAATAAAAAAAATGGCGGTATATTTCTGTGTTAACTCTGACTGTTTTGATTTTGTGGGCACTTGATGGTCAGGGGTGGCACCAGGATTTTCCCGACGGGGGGATTTCCCCGACGAAAGCAAAGTGGGCGTGGTCGAGCTTCGACTAAAAGGTTCCGAAAGTGGGAACTTAGGGGTTTCAAAGGCTTATTTAAACGATTATAGAGTTTACTAATTTGTAAAAAATACAATACATATAATTTTTTTTCTCCCTGACGAATTGTGATTTTTTTCCCCAACGGGAGAGTGCAGCTCTCCCGACGTCCCCACCCCCCTCTCCACTGGCGCCACCCCTGTTGATGATCTAGTGGGACCATTGTTAAATTCAATAGTGACATTTAGAAATGAAACCAGTCCGTTGATAATTCTAAACAATAAAATTAACCGGATATCTCTACGACGATCTTTAAAGACCTCCAACCAAGTCATTCAATCATTAAGGTGACACTGCTGGTTTTTTGTTTTTTTTAATAATCATTGCACACAAAACGGGCAGCACGCCGCTGCACTGACTCTAGTTTTTGACATCTTTCTGTAGATATGGGTCCCAGACACTAGCACTGAATTCTAATTTAGAACGGACCAAGAAGAAAAAAGCGAGTTCTTTGTATTTTTTAGGGCAGAACCAATAGTTTGGTTTGCTTTTTTAAATCATGGATTTCACTGTTCCCTGATATCATTGATGTGGGTTGACCAATTCAGATTTCCTCTAATGTTAACGCCCAGGTAGAAAGAAAGGCTTGGGTTTAGAACTTCGGTGAATTAAAAGTACAAAGCACTTTAATTGACTCATTGAATTTCTTTCCCCAATCTTCTGTCCACTTGAAGAGGGAGAGTAAGGTCTCTCTGTAGATAATGTTGATCTTGAATATTCTATATTTTTCTATATACTACACAATCGTCTGCAAATAAACGAAGGCTGGAGTTACCGACTGATGGAAGGCTGTTTATGTAACCCAAAAAAGATAATTGGACCTAGACATGTCCCTTGGGGCACTCCTGAGTCAACCTTAACTTGTGATGAGAATTCACCTTCAACAATAACTCGTTGATGACGCTGTGTAAGAAATTATTCTATCCACTGTAAAAGGTGTCCTTTGATGCCGTAACTCTTAAGTACATGTAGAAGATGTCTGTGGAGTGTGGGGTACACTATCAAATGCTTTGTTAAAATCTAGTGTGATCAAGTCTGTTTGGTAATTAGTATCAGAGTTTTCTTGGATATCGTCAATTATGTTATTTAGCTGTGACTCGCATGACCTTCATGCGGACCATCGCACGATAGCGCAGGCATTACGCCACTGAGCATGGATAGCTGTTCTATCCGGGTATTCTACATTCCGTAATAATGGCTAAAAAAAAACTCAGTCTTAGGTCTCCATGTTTTGGGCTTTTTTACATGCTGATTTAGTTAATCGTTGGAAAAAAAATGGCGTCGGGGATAGTGTTTTGTGTTCGTAGTCAATCAATAGAAAATTCAAAATTATTGAGTGGTAAAATAATTGAGCTCTCCTTTCATCCATAGCTGGATCCGCCACTGAACTCATGGGCACAATTATTTTATTTTTCCCTCTTTCCTCCCTCTAGAGCTTTTTTCAATTTTTCTACCTCTTTATTTTCTGTCTCTTATACACATCTATGTCTTGGCCTATATG